AATAACCTTTTTAGTTGACACGCTCGGAATCAATAACAATCAATCGCATCTGCAAATTCGATAGATATTTTGTGTATTCGAGTGCGTCAAATGCTATGGTAATCAGTCCCCTACAGTGTATTGCATGTTTTTATCATGGGAGGTAGCTGTGATCTTTCTTCGCTGGATGGAGAGATTCGGCGCCGACCTACGCGTCGGTTTGAGGGTTTTCCCAATCCCAAGACCTCCCACCAACAGGGTACTTTCCTAACTGGGACAAGCTTTATGCTTACGACTGGTCTCCCGTCATGTGTGGTAGTGTAGTGCGTGCGTGTTTGTGTCTAGGTAAGGATAGGATAAAGAAGAGGAAGGAAAAAACGTGCGCGGTCCGTGACCCGTTTGTTAGCGTGCTGCTCAGGCATTCACCTTGTGTTGATCGGAAAAAAACACTAAAGACTACCGATCAGAGCTGCCGACCACTAAGATTCTGCTCCAGACAGTGGCTGAATTCGACCTAGCTATCTAGCTGATTGCGTAGGCTTCCGCGGTCCGTATCTAGGCTGTCCGGGACGAGCCGCGTCTATGTCATTTCCACCATGTCTTGGCGCAACAGTACGCTCCACTGTAGGATGGAATGCCTAAAACATCGTTAAAATTCAATATCTCTGGCAAAAGGCAAAATAATGGATAAATTGGGGGTTTTGACCGCACAAAATACTAATATATCAAAATACGAACATATATATGAAAAATTCAAAATGGTAGATTCAATAGGCGGAAAACATTTGGAAAAACGTGGAAGAATAAAACAAAAATGAATACAGTGAGGTTTTCGAGCTTACTGTATACGAATATGATATCGAAAATGAAAAAAAAAAAAAAAAAAAAAAAAAAAAAAAAAAAAAAAAAAAATCAAAATGGAGAATAACATTTGGAAAAATGTCTAAAAATGCAACAAAAATTTCTATATTTCAGTTTTCGGTTACGAATTTGATACATTTGAACAAATATTTTAGACAGCCATTAGTAAAGGCAATTACTTTTAGATGTACTGCGTGCTAAAAGTGAGACGATGCTCAATTGTTCACATAAAAACAAAACTTTCGTATTATTGCGTACAACTGTTCTCAATGTAACATGGTACCCAATTACTAATATTTGCATTAAACTAAAATGAAAGTCAGTAATGATGACTTTCATTTTAGTTTATGCATTTATTTATATTTTTATTTATGCATTTAATTATATTGCATGACACACGTGGTAAAAATGGTTTTATTTTTCCCGTAGAATTGCGCTACTCGGCCTTGTGTCGCAACATCTTTTTCGCAAAATAAAATGTAATTTTTACTACTTGTATCATAAATAATTATTTTAGACATTTATTAGTAAGTTTAATTCTTCTTCGATATCACAATGTTATTTTTAATGTTCAAATTATTTGTGAATGCAGCAAAGAAAACAAAATACCTTCACCTTACTGCTTCATAAGATTACAATAGACTGATCTGGCTTTTTGCTGGCGTATTGTCTATTGTTTTCGGAGTTAGGCGGTAAAGTTGGAAGAGAAAGTTGTATTTCCCCAATATTTTTTAGCATGTTGTCCTTTACGGAATTATATATTATTTTTTGTGGACAAGAACCCTACTTTGTACTTTTAAATTAGGTTTAATAAAATTAGAAAAAAAAGAAGAAAAATAACAGGATTCTGCAGCTACCGCTATAAATGACTCATCGGATTCGTACCTATTCATAGGATTTTACAGAATGACCGTAAAATAAATACTATAAATATCAGTAAATTTGAATGAAAGTGGAATGTTTGTAACTTATCCCTACTATTTCATTTATTATTTAAAATAAAATTTTATTTACCGGCACGAATATTCATTTTATTTTTTTTTTAAATAAAGAAATATTAAACAAGTGCAAGTTAAGTACATACTTCTTAACAAGTTCCATTTTAAAATTTGAATGATTATTTTGACAGAACAAAAATATTTGGCTTCAACTCCGCAATAAAATTTCCGTCCGGATTGGATGACGCTGCTACAATATAACCCTACGTTTATCCTGAAATACAGCTTTCACTCGTAAGTTCCTGCCGTTCGACGGGAATACAGTTCCAACAATAGTGTAGCCAATCTAAGAATATAGTTCCAACAATAGTAAGCCACCAAAAAATGCTTTTTTTTTCTTTCGAATTTTGGTCAGGTTTCAATCCCAATGTACGCTCTGAGGAAGGCCACAACACGGAACAGCCTAGATCACACATAGCAAACTAGCTGTCGTAAATCCTGCAACCATTGGGACTCTAATCCTAGGACTCCCGGTCAAAAGCAATGCAGTGATATGGAGTGATATCCTGAGCCACCTCACCTAGTCAAAATTTCGAACATTCGCAAACATTTCCCAAAATTACTCACTTTCTACAAAAGATGTAGCTGATCTGTTTTTCAGAATACATTAATTTTGGTAATTTAATTAGTTTCTACGAACAATGTTGTAAAAATAATCTCTACCACCAATAATGGAATTTTGCAATGTTAATTTTGTGCAATTTTCGAAAATACAGAGTTCACCGAAGATAGGGTCTGTTCGATTTTCATCACTTGGATCTTTGAGATAAAAAATTGAAGAAATAATTTGGAGCAGTTTGAGGAAATAATTTTGAAAAACGTACTACTCTTCACGGACAATTACGTGAAAATGACTTCATATTTTACGAAAAACTGTACCCATTATTTAAAGAGGGAGTCTTCAAAGAAAATATTTCATTAACACTATCTTGCATGTTGTAATTTTGGAAAGATGCCGAAAAAAATTTTAAATTAAGCAATTTTCCAAAATTTAGAGGGTTCAACAAAATTACGATTTGCACAATTTTAATGCCCTTTGTCTCTATCTGAGAAATAAGAATAAAAAAAAATTCATGCAATTTCTGAAAAAAGAAAAAAAAAATGAAAATGTTAAGGCGGCATTTAATTCTCGAAAAATTCAAATTAGTTTCCAATTTGCGGGCGGGCGAACGAAGAAACGAGAATATAGAGACAAGAGGAGACTAGAGAAACAGGATTATAGTCAAGACAGACAAATTCATCGGAATAAACATTTTGATAACAGGGACCCCACAAATGTTTATTTCAATCGAAACTTCTATTTTTGCAATTTTGGGTTCGTCTATAAATTACGTAACACCAAAGAGGGGAAGGGGGTTCGAGAAATCTTTAAGCTGTGTTACAGGGGGGGGGGGGTTTAGTTACATTACGGTGAAAGCAAATTTTTCAACATTTGTTAAAATAATTCGTTTCATTCAGTCAAACTAAAATGTTGAAATATTAACATATTAAATTAAAAAAAAAAGTTATGATAAACAAAAGTTAACAATAATTGAAAATATATTGCCATGACTGGTGTATTGATCGAATCTTGGATTACGAAGAAAATATTTGAAACTGATCTCTAGGATATTCTTGAATACAATTACATTGCGGCAGTAGATTCTCGCACATGCGTCCCCACCAAAACACGTGCATGATTGCCACCGTATCCAGCACTGCTATCCAGTCATCATGTGACATCTAGGGGACTGCCTTGTGGGTCAGAGTTATAAAAATTGCACTATAGTCAGAAATGTTCTCGCCAATGCTTTCTTCCTTCCTTGGCATAAAACCTGTCCCGCAATCTTATTGTTAGGTGCAGTTAGCATCGCCAATTAATTATCACTTCATTTATCGTTAATTTTAATATACAGTACAAAATAAAAAGAAATTGTTTTCTGTGTCATACAATTTATTTTTACTTTCTGTGAATGGTCAAAGGGAGGGCACGTTCGAAGTATTACGTAATTTTTTAGGGGGGGTCCAGCACACGTCACAGGTGCCTTATGGGTGGGAAACCCTCCTCCCGCACACACACACACACACACACACAAAACGTCCTTAATTTACATAATTTATGGACGGCCCCTTTGCACAACTTTCTGCATAGAACACATGAGAAAGTAAAAACTTGATAATTCACTTCAGTCATAAGAATTATTGTTTAAGTCTTCAGATGGACTCAGATAAACAGAGTATGTTAAAAAACTGGTCACATGGTTTATAGAAAATCATTTAAATTATAAACCGTCATAACAGCATTAACTCATATAGTATTTCAGAGAATTACAATTTAGAAACATGAGTCACATTGCACCAGAACATTTATCACTGTTTTTTAAGGAAAATGATTTAAACAATGAAAATATTTCAGTTATAAACAGGCATCTCGAAATTCACTGAAAACCTAATCAATAAACAAAACTAGATACCAAATATAACATATCAATAGTAATTATTCTACAAATTAATTTCAATACTAAATATGCAGGAACTGGTATCTTCATCTTAATTAGGTTTCAACCAATATCCATTGATCTTTGAAGAAATTGCAGGGATAGGCCCTCATTTTACTTCTGGATATAAATGTAGCTGAACTTGGCACACTGTCTAGTTACTAAACATGTTTTGTTAGTTGGTAGCAAGAGTATGGTTTAGTTTGCTTGATGCTGCAGGAGATTGGCCAACAGAGTATGGGTTGCTGTTTTCAGCAATTCAATGTGATAAAATCATATCTGCGGATTGTTCGCAGATCAAATACATTTTCTATTCCTCTGGAGCTGGTAACACAATAATGCAAACCAGAAAACTGAAGAGATGGTGAGAAATGATAATGATCTAGCGATACATAATTTCTGTTGGTGATTTTTGTATGCAGATAATGCAGAGTTCTTGAGCTACCAATAACAAATTTAGTTTTGTTTATGTTGTGGATGCCTATGTACTTTTTGTATATTAACGTTTTAAACTATAATTTGAACATTCGTAAAATACTAAATATTGAGCATACACAGTAGTAAAGAAATAGCCTTTAATCCTCCTAATTTTTGCCATATACTGTGCCTTTAAATAAAAACAGAGAAATTTGACTACTAAAACGTTAGCCTTTAGGGAAATGCTCCAAATAAATAAATATCTTACCAGTGTCAAAGCAAAATAAAGTATTACAAGCATATTCATCATTTCGGCCACCCCATATATATATTTTGTCTTCATATGCAACAGCCGTATGTCCATATCTTTGATATGGTACACTCAAGAACTGATCTCCTCCATATTCAGGCAATGGAAGAGCAGTCCACCTATAATTTGCTGTGAAATGTCAATGCAATATTACCAAAGATATAATCAGTAGAATAAATAACACTTAATACAAAATACCAGTATAAAAACAAACATTTAAAGAATTCAAACAAGTGGACTGACAAACAAATTATTTTAACTATGGCTATTCATTTTAATCAATCTCACCTGTGTTCAATACATGTACATCTATTGGTCTTCTTTTGTGATAATTTTCGCCCGTGCAATAACCCCCAAAAGAATAAATTTTATCACCAACAACTACTGCTGCATGATTGACACGACGCGGACCCCCCTCCAAATGAACAGTCCAATACATCGTTGTGACACACGCATTTACTAAATGTGAATAAAACTATGTAGTATCTACAAACCTAAAACTATACAAAATTTAAACTTAAAAGTGTTACAATCGTTTTCGGTAGAAATGTATTAATATTTTCAGAAAAATCACAGAATGTAATGAAAGGACCATCGAAGCCCCAAATAACGCTCTAACGAAAATCACAGCACATAACTAACGCGATAATCAACAATATGTCATTTCTTGGGGGTCAGGAACGTCCTTCGGCGTTAATCGTCTACTTGAACTACTCACAATTTCACACCATTCGTCTTTCTCAATGCGCATACCATTTATTCTTAGGTGCTCTTAGGACCGCATTGTTCGTCACAAGAACACATGCCAACAGTGTCGCCAGAGCAGTGAAATTCCCCCTTAGTTTGGGAAATCTTTGCATATATATTGGATCATTTTTTTCATTTCATGGATAGCGGAAATTTCGAAAAATGTCATTACCATATGCTGATTGAAATTAGCATTACGCGAGTATAAAGATCAAATGAAAAACAATTGGGAAGTATCTCTTAACCTGTTCCCATTGCAGAATCTACTCCTTCCTGATGACGGGAAATGAGACAGCTATTATAAAGCACCGTGATTGTAATGTATAACAGACGAGAACTCGCGGCCGCGGGAGCGAGTTTGGTTTTCCATAGTTTGACTGTGCGTGGCTGGTCAGTGTGAAAACTTGGTTTAATTCCGTGTCTATAGCCCCTTTTAATTTCATGTCTTTGTGCTAAGTTTGCTTCCGTGAATAGATGTGTTTAAAATTTCTTCAAAACCAAAATATTGTGCATAAAGAGAATAACTGTCCAATGAGTGAGAATAACTATCCAAAAAACTTAGTTTGAGTGTAAACCTGATGTAAGGATAACAATTTTAAGCAGTCTATTCGGTTTCAACCAATGACTTTCAGATGCCTGATCCGTCAGTTTGTACGCGGGAATTTTAAATCCAGTCAGCTATCAAAAATCATCTAGACATTATAAGCCGTGGAAATCGATATTTAAAGCATCACATCAAATATTGCTTCTTAAATGTACTCGTTATGTAAATTTGTTTTTACATTTACACATTACGTTTGTTGGCACACGAAAAACACAATTAAATGCATCGCATTTACTAGACAATAATAAGATATGAAAGATAATTTATTCCCGAAGTGATACATAAACATCAATATCATGTCCTTTAAAATGTCTTTATTTTTACAATAAGTGCCTAATATATTTTTCTGATTATTTTCAAGAGGTGTAAACTAGTACTAATTGATACTTTCATGAAAAACTAAAACACTTTCATAAGTATTTATACTACAGAAAATAATAATATATAATAAATATCTAAATAATACGAGAATAGTCTAATTGTTTTTTTGTTATTTACGTTGGTGAACTCTCACTTAGCCCTATGGCAGCTAACCATCCAAACAACGCTTTAAGAGCGCGTCCATAGCAACGGTCAATAAATTGCTCGAAAGATCATTAAAATTATTTAACGGACTTTCGGGTTTAGATTTTATCAGTGTTCATAAATCTTGGGATAAATATGACGTTGACACAATACACAATTTTTGGGAATAAATGTAAACAAAATTAATTTTTACAATTATTTCGGTACAGATATATTGAAAGTAGTATGCTAGCATAATCTCTTCGATATCTTGAACATTAATAATAATAATAATAATAATAATAATAATAATAATAATAATAATAATAATAATAATAA